AGGGCCTGAGGGGGTGTCGAGCTTCACAGTGGACAAATCCTGCCAGCCTGGCACGTGGCCTCCAGCCTGGGGCCTGATGCCTGCTGGACAATGGAGGGCGGAAGAGGAAGGCCCACAGTGACACGCGGAAATTAGACAGGTTTTCCTGGTTTGAGGAAGCAGTCACGTCCGCTCCGGCAGGGGACCGCTTTGATGGAGGAGCTTGGATGCTGGTGTTTGCAGGCCAGGCTTCCGCCAAGGGCCCTTCAACCCACGCTTCGGGCCGTGGCCCCAGGGTCTGTGGGGGGTCTGCTGCTGGGGCCTCTGGTTGACTCAGGGGCTGGTGGGGACTCCTAGCAGAAGCTCCGAGGCCTCCACCTTATAATCCAATGGGTCGCAGGGCTGAGGGGCAGCTGTGGGCTGGGCTGGACTCACACTTGGTCCTACAAGTGAAGCCACTTTGGGGGCTTCTGGGCCCAAGTCCAACCACAAGGAGGAGTGAAACTGATGCATTTCTAAATGCTTCAGCTTGGCAGCGATAAAAATATTTGGGAAATCTTTGACATTTACCGAGCACCTACTATGGACGGAGAACTCAAGAAACCCTTTCCAGGTGTTCTCCTCAACAATCCTGACCGGCCGCTGTGGGCCCTTAGGACCTTAGGCAGCCGCCCTGCTCACCGAGAGCACGGAAGAGTTGAGATCAGAACCTGCTCCCCTCCCATCCTCCAAGCCTCGCTCTGCACCCCCCATCACAGGGCTGGACATGGAGAACAGCTGAGGCAGCCAGATTTGGGAGGGCAGAGCTGGAGGGGTACCCTGGGCTCTTACCAGCCATGCGAGCCCAGCTCAGGAAAACGTGGGGAGCCTGGCCAGGTGGCTCTGGGGCCACCATCTTGGATGACAGCTACTCAGGGCTGTGGGTTTCCTGCCAGGAGGGAAAGGAGATCAGCTGCACCCCCATACGCTGGGACTCTCAGGGTGTCTGCGCCTTCACAGAGACCTCACGTTTCGAGTGAGGACGGGTCAAAGTGCGAAATCAGTGACCACCAGCTGGGAGCTTTGGGCATCCTGATGGTCCCACTCTGGGGAAGGGAGGGGTCCCCCAGTCTCTGCTGGCCAGTGTCGGGGTGAGGCACTGCCCCGACTGCCCCACGGAATGTCTGGGCCCCAGCAGGCAGCTGCATCCGAAGTCTCATTAGTGCCCACACCTGCCAAGAGTGACCCGTGTGCCCGCTGTGCCCAGGGTGGAATTCCACAGAGCCGCTCCCCAGCAGGCAGCTCTTCAGTCCCACTGGCTCTTATCAACTCCTGTTACTGCAGAGACCGCACCTGCCTCCTCTCTACGATGCGTAAGAACCGCCTTTCCTGTCACCCTGCGAGGCAGGGTTGTGGGGCAGAAGTAGTGGCTCTGGGGCTGGGCAGGCAGGCTTGAGCCTGGCTTGGGATCAGCCAGCTTGAGCTGGGGTGCGCTGCAGGAACAAATGGCCTCCTGCGTCTTGGGCTTCCAGCGACAGCGTGTGCTTCTCACTCACTCTACAGGCACGTGATGGTCAGCTGGAGCTCTGTTCCACGGCCTCTCAGTTCCGGGACCCAGGCTGAAGGATGCCTCTCATGGGAGGCTCTGTGGGCTGGAGGATGGGGACATGGTGGAACCATGTGATGGCCCCTGAGGCATCTGCTCAGCTAGGAGCTAGGACATTGGCAAAAGCATCACCCAAACCTGACATCAAGGGGCCCCAGGGAGAGGCAGGAAACACTCCGAGCACGAATCTAGCCAGTCTACCCCTCGTGTGTCCTTGAGCAAGTGAGGACCTTCTCCAGACCTCGGTGCCCTCAGCCGAGATGGGCATGGCCGTGGCAGGACTACTGGGGTCTAGCAGCATTGCCAAGGCCTGGCCCCCGTCTGCTGTCTCTGTGGGGCCCTCTCAGTCTGCTGAGGTCTTGGTGATGATTGATAAGCTGGACAGTACATTCTGAGCCCTGATGTGCCCTGCAGATGCAAGGGCTGTCTGTGGTCACCGTGGTTTCTGGAACCCTCTATTTTCCATTTGAATCCCACACAGCCAGCTATGGCTATGGACAAAGAGTCCAAGCTCCGAATCCGCTCCCAGCCTTGGGGCCCTCAGGGTCACTCAACTCCCAGTGCCTTACAAGGTGGGCTCCTCTGAGCGTGTGGACGGCCGCTCCACTGGGCTGAGATGCTTCCCCTGTGAGCCTGCCTGACCCCCCGACGGGCCTCCCGGGGCATGTCCTGCATGCCCCACTGGGGACTCTCCACACCGGTGACAACGTGAGGCCAGCCCTGCTGGGAGTGCCCCGGCCCTGGCATTGTGTCTCCTGGCCGTCCCTGTTCTCCTGGGCAGATTTTCCAGCTATTTTCTTTTTCATTCCTGCACGTCTGGGTTGACTTCACTGGCAACGCGAGGCTCCCGCTAGACGTCGCATTTTGTTTTACAGCGGGAAGAAGCGTGGAATGATACCAATTTCTTGATCCACGATATATCTGGGGGCACCAAAATTCAGGCGTTTTCTCTCCTCCCCCACGTCAGAGGCAGTAACCTGTCCAGCTCCCCTCTCAGAAGCAGCAGGATCCTGAGCTGCTTCTGTGAATGTTCACGAGCTGCTTGAAATGACTTCCTACCACTGGATCTGCGCGGGGAGAGCGAGGGGCAGCAAGCCTGAAGCCTCCAGTGTGCGACTCACCCCACCGTGTAACACCTGACTGTGCAACTCACTCCAGTGCGTAACTCACCCCAGTGCATAACTCACACCATCATTGTGTAACTCACCCCATCATTGTGTATCTCACCCCATCATTGTGTAACTCACTCCACTGCGCAAATCACACCACTGTGTAACTCAGTCCATCATTGTGTAACTCACCCATCATTGTGTAACTCAACCCATCATTGTGTAACTCACCCCACTGTGCAAATCACATCACTGTGTAACTCACCCCATCATTGTGTAACTCACCCCATTGTGTAACTCACCCCACTGTGGAAATCACCCCACTGTGTAACTCACCCATCATTGTGTAACTCACCCCATCATTGTGTAACTCAC